TAAATAAATAAAATTAGCCAGGTGTGGTGGCACGCACCTGTTATCCCAGGTACTCGGGAAGCTAAAGTGGGAGGATCACTTGAGCCCAGGAGTTCTAGGCTGCAGTGAACCATGATCGTGCCACTGTACCCTACTCTGGGCAAAAAGGTAAGACCCAATCTCAAAAAATAAAATAAAATAACAATAATAATACCTCCCTTTCTTGAGCACTTACTATGTGCCAAGCACTGGACTAAACGTTGTCACATCATTCTGATCTATCCTTATCATCACCATCTTGCAGATGATGAAACAGAAGCCAGAGAGGTTATTGTAAATAAATAAAATGACTATATTGCAGAACATCTGATCTGGGCCCCTTGGAGGAAAACAGAACTCTCCCTGTTCAGGGGATGTCCAATTCCAGCGTCCATGCCTTGCCACAGTGGCCCTTTGGCGTGGCCCCACTGTGGCAGTCCTATGGCCTCCACTATGTAGAATGAGAGGCCAGGGGTCACGTGACTTCATCTCTCTGTTGCTTTGCAGGAAGCCTTTGATGTGCTGGGCTTCAGCGCCGAGGAGAAGATGGCCGTGTATAAGCTGACAGGAGGTATCATGCACTTTGGGAACATGAAGTTCAAGCAGAAGCCCAGAGAGGAGCAAGCTGAAGTGGACACCACTGAGGGTGGGTACTGGGGCTGGGGCTGCTCAGAGACAAGGTGGCCAGTGTGGGAAGTTCCCTGCTTTCCAGGGCTTTGTGACCATTTCAGGGATATGCCAGCTCTATGTGGCTGCAAACCATGCATGTTCAGACATTGATATTTTCAGAAAGGCACAATTGAGAGTCAAGACGTGATTTTGGTTTTGTGTTGTCGTTGTTGTTTTAATTTGTATTTATTTTTTGAGACAAGGTCTCGGTTTGTTGCCTAGGTGTGAGTGCAGAGGTGCAGTCACGCAGTTGTGGCTCACTGCAGTCTCAACCTTTTAGGCTCAAATGATCCTCCTGCTTCAACCTCCTCAGTAGCTGGGACTACAGGTGCACGCCACCACACCTGGCTGATTTTTTTTCTGTTTGTAGAAAGGGGTCTTGCTATATTGCCCAGGCTGGTCTCAAACTCCTACCTTAACCACCCAAAGTGCTGGAATCACAGGCATAAGCCACCTTGCCCAGCTGCCACCTGACCTTGAGCAAGTGTAGAAATTACCACGTCTTTGTTTTCTCATTGGCAAAATGGGATCTCCTCCACCCTGCCTTTCACCCCATCCCTGAACCACAAGAGATGTTGCCAGGTTTCTCCTGGACATGGCAACATCTTCCTTGCACTCACCTAATTTTTCCATCTCTACTCAGTGGCTGACAAAGTCGCCCATCTCATGGGTCTCAACTCTGGTGAACTGCAGAAGGGCATCACCAGGCCCCGGGTCAAAGTCGGCAATGAGTTTGTGCAAAAAGGTCAGAACATGGAACAGTGCCAAAACTCCATTGGGGCTCTGGGCAAGGCTGTCTATGACAAGATGTTCAAGTGGCTGGTGGCCAGGATTAACAAGACCTTGGACACCAAGATGCAGAGGCAGTTCTTCATTGGAGTGCTGGACATCGCTGGCTTTGAGATCTTTGAGGTGGGCTTGGCCTTGCATTTGGTTTTTGCTTTGGGGTGGCTGTCCTCCTTATGTAAGCTACTTTTTTGCTTATGTAAGTTATAAAGTTCTCTTGTTTCTCACCTTGGACCTGGGGCAGACCAATCTCGGTTTGCCACTGGATCTCTGACTTTTGGACTCCAGAAATTTCCAGCTTCATTTGTATGGTTCCAAGTCATAAAGAATGGTGTGAACTTTAAGGATGGGATGAGTGGTGTGCTGAAGCGAGCCTGTACTGGCTAACAAGATTGTGTTATTTTCAGGAATTCTGTGAGCCAGTTGACATCATGTTGATAGCTTGAAATTAGCCATGGCTTGAATATTTACACCATGGAAATTGGCAAACACTATAAATCAGGGGTTTGGTTTTTAAGAAGAGCTGATTTATCAGCTCACCACATTAAAAAAAAAAAAAAGCTTGTAAACCCCTTTTATTAGTCCATTTTCAAACTGCTATAAAGAACTACCTGAGACTGAGTAATTTATAAAGAAGAGAGGCTTAATTGACTCACAGTTCTGCATGGCTGCGGAGGCCTCAGGAAACTTACAATCACGGTGAAAGGCAAAGCGGAAGCAGACACGTCTTACATGGTGGCAGGAGAGAGAGAGCAAGGCAGGAGGTGCCAAATACTTTTAAACCATCAGATCTCATGAGAACTCCCTTGCTATCACGAGAACAGCATGAGGGAAATCTGACCCTATGATCCAATGTGGGGATTACAATTCGAGATGAGATTTGGGTGGGGACATAGAGCCAAACCATATCACCCCTTAAACTCCTTCATCTTACAGATGAGGAGGAGAAAAACTACAGAGAAAAAGACAAACTGCCCTCAGGCATACGGGGTTCAGATCCATAGAGCATTTCGAGTGATTTCCATCCCTGGAAAGAAAATGGTTCTTTCTTCAATGATTTCTATTCAGACTGGGGCCGCATGCAGTGGCTCATGTCTGTAATCCCAGCACTTTGGGAGGCAGAGGTGGGAGGATCACTTGAGCCCAGGAGTTTGAGACCAGCCTGGGCAACAGGGTGAGACCTCATCTCTTTTTTTATTTTTATTTGTGTTTTTTGTTTTGTTTTGTTTTTGAGACAGAGCTTCACACTTTTTGCCCAGGCTAGAGTACAGTGGAGCCATCTCAGCCCACTGCAACCTCCGCCTCCTGGGTGCAAGTGATTCTCCCGCCTCAGCCCTCTGAGTAGCTGGGATTAAAGGCATGTGCAACCATGCTCAGCTAATTTTGTATTTTTAGTAGAGACAGGGTTTTACCATCTACCTGTCTACCATCCAGGCCTGAAGTCTGGTTGCCTGGATTTTGGGTCTGAACATCATACTGTGTGGCCGGAGGCATGTGTTAAACCACTTTGTGCCTCTGTAGAGGAGGGAACAGAGAGCTGCTTCTCATAGGGTGCTAAATGGCTATTGTTAGGCACTTAGGGCAGTGCCTGACACTAGTGGGCCCTCTGCAAAGTTTTGTGTTGCTTTTGGTCACTTCATTCAATCCTAGGAGAGGCTCTCTCTGTGCCTGTGCTGACACCCCTCTTTCTGCCCTCCTGCCACCACAGTTCAACAGCTTTGAGCAGCTGTGCATCAACTTCACCAACGAGAAGCTGCAGCAGTTCTTCAACCACCACATGTTCGTGCTGGAGCAGGAGGAGTACAAGAGGGAAGGCATCGAGTGGGTCTTCATCGACTTTGGCCTCGACCTGCAGGCCTGCATCGACCTCCTGGAAAAGGTGACTTGCTTCTCAAAGGAGGGGCTTGGAGAGAGGCCAGGGCCAAGGGATGTCACTGGTGCATGCAGGGAGGTGGCACTTGGCTTCAGGGAAGTCAGTGACACCACTGATGACCTTCCTTGGTATGACCTCTAGCTCCCCATCTGCAAAATGGGTACTGAAGTGACTGCAATGACTACTGTTCATTGGGCTATTGTATGCCACCATTCACTGGATCATCACAACCTATTGTATGTGGGGGAGGGGATACTTTCATTACACCCATTTCATAGATGGGAACATTGAGGCACAGAGAAGGGAACTCGCTTGTCCAAGGTCCCACAACCTGTGAGTGGCAGAGTCAGGCTCTGACCCAGGCAATACAATAGTTTCGCCTATAACCACATCCACATGGAAGGTCTCAGCAAATAGTCCCCTTCAAGAATGTGTATTGTGGCCAGGCATGGTGGCTCATGCCTGTAATCCCAGCACTTTGGGAGGCCAAGGCAGGTGGATCACCTGAGGTCAGGAGTTTTGAGACCAGCCTGGCCAACATGGTAAAACCTCATCTCTAATACAAAAATTAGCTGGGTGTGGTGGCGGGTACCTGTAATCCCAGCTACTTGGGAGGCTGAGGCAGGAGAATCACTTGAACCTGGAGGCGGAGGTTGCAGTGAGCCGAGCCCGCGCCACTGCACTCCAGCCTGGGTGACAGAGCGAGACTCTGTCTCAAAACAAATAAATTAAATAAAAAAACAAAAGCAAAGAGCACAGGTGGCATTGACGTCCCCATTTTTTAGAAGGCCAAGCTTGCCAGGGGCCACTGTTTAGTGGGATTAGCATTTGGGAAGCTATCTGGTCCCTTCAGATCTCAGTCTTCCCTTCTGTTGGACTCGATGAATTCAGCCTCTTTCAAGTCTTAATGGTCATGGTGTTTAATGACAAGGCCACAGAGCACCAGGCACTGTTCCCAGATGTCACCAGGCACTGTTTCCAGATGTCACTGCACAGAGTCCTGCTTCCTGGATGGCCACATGGGTGTCTGATGCATCTCTACACTGGCCCTGGGCTCAGTGCCAGTTTGACCTCTTTTGGGACCTGCAACCTCTTCTAACATCACCCTGTTCCCTTCCCTCCCAGCCCATGGGCATCTTCTCCATCTTGGAGGAACAGTGTGTCTTCCCCAAAGCCACCGATGCCACGTTCAAGGCAGCCCTGTATGACAATCACCTGGGCAAGTCCAGCAACTTCCTGAAGCCCAAGGGGGGCAAGGGCAAGGGGCCCGAGGCCCACTTCGAGCTCGTTCACTACGCAGGCACCGTGAGTACTGGCCTCAGGGTCCCTCTGTGTTTCGGGTCCCAGCTGGCTGCCATCACTGCCACTATTGTAGGTACATGCTGACATACCTCTCCAGACACGTCCCGCTTCCACTAGCACAACCATGGTATAACAGGGTGATCAGCCAATTGAAATGAGTGCCGCTCACACCTCCTCATCACTTCTCTAAAGGAGATATCCATTGGGGAGCAGCTATCAGACCTGTCTAGGCCACACCCTGCCCAGGCCCATCAGACTTGTCTGGGCCCTTGGTTTGACAGCTGAAGTTCAGTCTTGGCCAGAAATGACAATACTTGCAAAAAGAACAAAAAAGAATAAACAACAAAAAAATTCCACAAGCCCATTAATTACTCCCAACTGATAACTTGGCTATCTGACAGCTTGTAGCCACCAAACCAACAAGGTGACATTTATAGAGTGGTTTTTTCACTCGTGACAAACTTAGTCCTTGGGAAGTGGGGAAATTAAGTGCAACCAGGACTCAGGTTGCATTTGCATAATTAATAGGGGAGGTGACATTCGTCCTGCCAGCTTATGAGAATGCATTTGGTTCCCTCGGGATTTTATTATCGCTGTAAGTGCCAATGTTCCTGTTACCCACAGAGGTTGCTGAGCCTCCATGGGCTTGACTGCCACGAAACAGCAGCCTTAAGACGGAGCTGTCGGGAAAGTCATGATGGCATTGGGCATCAGGGCCAAGGTTTTATGATACCATCAACCATAACCGTAATGCCAATTGCTTGTAAAATGGATTTGGCCGATACTTGGAGCAAACAGCAGGCTTGGGACCAAATTGCAGCTCTCCATCCCCTTTTCCCACACTGAACTGAGAAGAGTTCCTTATTTATAGCAATGGAACATTCAAAGTCAAGTGGGACCTGTGCATTTCCAAGAAGGCCCTAAAATAAGGCACAGAGATGACAAATGTCTTTGTGCTGCACAGGAGATGGCAAGCCCAGAAGTTCTGGCATCTCCTCTACTTACCTCACTTCTCTGTGCTCAATGGAAGGACCTGAAAGACTCCTTCCTCCCTACCCTTGCAATGGGGACCATGTGGCAAGATGGGAAGCAGAAATTAGTGGATGTCCAATTACCTGGATATATGCAGTCCCCAGTGCTGGATGGATGGAGCCCCCTTTCCACCAGCCAATGACCCTACAGTGGTATAAGAGAATGTGCATGCTCCCCTAGCAAGAAGAGACCCTACAGTGTTTCAAGAGGGGCTGCATGCTTCCAAGCGAAGAGATTTCTTCATGTAGCTCACGATTCTACAGCCACGGTCAGTCACTGACAGCAAACCACTAGGCAGAAAAAGACCGAAGGGTCAGGGAGGGTCAGTGTGGCCAGCAGAGTAAGCTGTGCAAGAGAAGGTCACACAGTCCAGGAGAGAGTAGCAGGGGAGTCTGGGTTTATGTGCAAAGCTCAGAGTTGGGGTATCCTAGATGGGCAAACTGCAAACGCCCAAGAAGGTAGATGATGGAGCCTCCAACTCAGATGGGGCTTCAGGGGCATCCCAGGACACAAGGCAAGTTATCAGGACAAGAACTGGAGCCCCAGGACATGGGAGTGAAATTTGGTCCTGGGAGCTGAGAACGGGAGAGAGCTGTAAGAGGGGCTCTAGCTGTGGCACCTGAAAGGGGGAGGCTGGACCTCAAAGTTATGCACTCGTGTTTGCCCTCTCCAGGTGGGATATAACATCACAGGCTGGCTGGAGAAGAACAAAGACCCCCTGAATGAAACAGTGGTGGGCTTGTTCCAGAAATCGACTGTGGCAATCCTGGCCCTTCTCTTCAAAGAAGAGGAGGCTGCAGGTAGGGCTGACCCCTTGTTGTGTCCAGTCTCCCTGTGCTGATGCCATTTTGTGGCCCAAAATGGAAAGAAGGAACCAAAACTCTTTGATTCAACTCTTGTGGAATGAGTGAGAGAGTGAACCAATGAATGAATGAATGAAAAGTGGCTGAGATAGGCCATGGATGATACTGCAAAAGAGGCATGTAGAGGCAACCTGGGAGCTTCCAGTGACTGACCTGATTGCTGGGCACATCTCGCCTCTAGGTGGATGGATACTGCTTTGGAAAAGTTGACACCCAGATGCTCTGTGTTTCTTTCCTGTTTCCCCCTCCCTTGTCAGAAGCAAATGCCAAACTCAGCCCTGCCTCCCAATCAATAGAGGTCATGGAGCTCACAGAGTAATGCCCTGGTGGATGCTGCCCCACCCCATAGGGTTGCCAATTAGTGGGGCCAGAAACACCAGTCTCCCTGGTCTCACCACCAAAGTGCACCTTCTCCCGTGGTCTATGGGTGCTTCTTCCTCCCCAGGCAATGGGAGCTGTTTGTCACCTTGCACCAGAAATCACAAAAGGCTGCACCCTCCCAAGGAGCACAGCAGCTCTTTTGACAATTACACTGTAGCCAGCCCATTTGACCACTCCCTGGTAGATCTCATTTTCCTCATGTGAGGGTCCCCCTTATCCAGCCCCAAGATAAGCCGTTTTGAATCCAAAGAATGGGTGTGCTTTGGTGCAGCGTGCTTAATGAGGCTGCCTTTCTCCACACTCGGTACTGACGTGAAACGTGCTTGTCCCTTCCTCAGCCGGAAGCAAGAAGCAGAAGAGAGGCTCCTCCTTCATGACAGTCTCCAACTTCTACAGGGTAAGCAGGGGTGCCCCCAACCCTCCCTTTCAATCTTGGGTGGTCTGGCTGCTGCTTCATGACCCGGGGCAGCCTGATTTCATTTCTCTGTCTATGATCACCTCTTTACCTGGAGGGGTCTGTTTCCTTCTGAAGAGGCCACAGAATCAAAGGACCATTGGGCAGAAGAGAGCTTTACAGAAGGCCCAGTCCAACTATATCATTTTTGGATTTAAACCTGGAGAGTAAAGGGATTTGTGCAGTGTGACCACGCGAGATAGCAATGCCCAAGATCTCGTGTCCTAGAGATGGCTGGCAGGTCTTGGGCTGGCTACAACTTCCATGAAGTTTGGGCATTACCTTCCAAAGTGCAGTCTACAAGGAGATGTTGCACAAAGCAAGATGTCAACACTTTTCAAGAATCAGGCTGTCCCAAGGCAGAGTAGGCCACCTCATTGGAGATATCCAAGCAGAGGAGGAGGGAGCATCCATTAGGGAAGTTAACAGTGGACAGGGCTTTGCCCACATAGACCCTACAGTTCCTCCTGGTACTGAGATTCTACAATGAACCAGCTCTTAATCTGGAGGGGCCCCACTTCTTACAAACCACAGCCCCTTGAGCAAGTCATTGGACCTTGAGAGCGGTGCTGCCCAACGGCACTTTCTGCAATGATGAACCGTTCTCTTCTGCACTGCCCAATATGGTAGCCACTAACCACATGTGGCTGAGTTTTAATTCAGTTTTAAGTGAATAAATTCTAAATAAAATACCTCTCCTGGGCGCAGATGTCCTGCAACATCAATGCAAAGTTTCACTCACTCATTCTCTGTCCTCCAACCCCAGGAGCAGCTGAACAAGCTGATGACCACCCTCCATAGCACCGCACCCCATTTTGTCCGCTGTATTGTCCCCAATGAGTTTAAGCAATCGGGTATGTTGTGGGGTCACGGCTCCCTGCTGGAAGTCCTGAGGTTCTATGAAGTTAGTTTTCATTCCAAATTAAGTCCACCTTTCATCACCAAGGCTGATGGGGGCAAAACAAGGCTCAGAGAGAAATCTCAACAATGGGTCATCCAAGAATCATATTCTAGCTGCTTTATAAAGCAGAATAGTGCCCAACCAGCTAGAAATCAAACTCAGGGGAGCTTTTGGGCATTGGTCAAATGGTGGGGGACCTGGGGCCTCCAGGACAGTGACAGGAGAAGCCTGGGGATGATGGCACAGATGCTCAGTTCAGCTTCCTTGAGTGGCCAGGACTGGCCTGTCCCACCCCAGAGGAGGGATTCTCCATCTTGCACCCTCCCCCTTGGCAGGTGTGGTGGATGCCCACCTGATCATGCACCAGCTAGCTTGCAATGGTGTCCTGGAAGGCATCCGAATCTGCAGGAAGGGCTTCCCAAACAGGCTGCAGTACCCGGAGTTCAAACAGAGGTGAGTGATGTCTCCCTCAGTGCAAGGCTTAGATGCCCAGGAGTTAACCAACTGATAAGTCACATCCCACTGCAGCAGACACAATGGTGCTCTGTCAATACCACCTCACTGTCAGTCACTACCTTAGTACACACTGGCCCAAATTTCAGATGAGATTGGGTATGTTCAGGGAGGTATGGCCATAGATGCTGGCCCAAATTTCAACTGCCAGCCCTTGCATTTCTTGGCTGCTGGATGCTTCTTTACCCCTCCTTGGCAAGCTGTCCTGGGAATTAATGCCTCCCTGGAAGGAGCCCTCAATCAGTGACTGAGGAGAGCTGGTGTATAAATACCGCAGCTCCCTCACCCTTCAGGTAGCTAAGTCTGAGACATTTTCCACACATGTGCTCAGATAGCAGTGTGTTGGTAAATGTTTAACAAGGGCTCCCAGGTCCAAAAAAAGAAGCCCTGATTGCTAGTGTCTGCCCATTTCCTTGGTGTAAATACTCGCGCTGTGGCTCCCAGTGATCCCAAGCAGCATTAAGCTTCTGTTGCTTGTTGTGCTAACTGCCTCCATAACGTGCTTTTCATTGGCTTTCTGCCCATTCCCCATTCTGCCACTTTCCAGGTAAACTACTTGCACTTGAATTCTTACCTCAGGGCTTCTGGAGGAACACTGGGTAACTAATACCTCCACCTTAGAAATGATCTTCTTCTACCTTCTCTAACTTCCTAGAACATAAGACCACAGATTGATGGATCAGGAAAAGTCACTAGAGGTCACCTTATCCAAGCCCCTCTGAAGTCCCCAGTTGGGGACTTTTGTGTCCAAGATCACAAAGGGGGCTGCTCACAGGTCAGGATAAAAAATAAATAAATAAAAAATAAATTTTTTATAAAAGCTGTTTTCTGATATCTGAGTCAATGCCCTTTTCTCAACTTCAGCCTCTATCAGGAAGGGATTTTGGTGTCTTCATTTCTAGAAACAGCTTCTCCCTATACCCCCAACCCACGCCAATGTCCACTCCCAAGCTAGAGCCCTTATTCCAGAGCCTCCTATTGATCTCATCTCTCTGCCTCCCTGGGGCATCTGTCAAACAAGTCTAGTGCCTGTCCAAAGTCCATCCCAAAGACCAGCAGATAACCGCATGAACATGTTTTATGTGCTGTTGGCTTAGGCACAGTGATGACTGTCAATCATCTCTGTCCTGCCAGGTACCAAGTGCTGAACCCCAACGTGATTCCCCAGGGGTTCGTGGACAACAAAAAGGCCTCAGAGCTGCTTCTTGCAGCCATTGACCTGGATGCAAACGAATACAAAATTGGACACACCAAGGTAGGGTCTGGTGGGCGGTCTCCCCCTACACACCTCCCTCAGCCTTTTCCCAAGAAGGTGGGCTTTGGGGTATGGATTCCACCTGGTCACTGACCAATGGCCTGCTTTGGGCAAGTCTGCCAGTTGCTGAGAGCATCAGTTTCCTGAAAAATCAGGGTTGATCATGCAAGTCTCATAGAATTTGGGGAGATTAGAGGCAACATGCATAGAACCCAGTTCAGCTCAGAGGGGAAGTCAATCATGGTAGAATATTTCTTAGAACCCTACGCTTTGTTTTGTTTGAGACAGGGTCTTCCTGGAGTGCAGTGGCACAATCATAGCTCACTACAACCTGGAACTCCCAGGCTCAAGTGATCCTCCTGCCTCAGCCTCCCAAGTAGCTGGGACTTAAGGCATACACCATCACACCCAGTTCATGTTTTAAATTATTTGTAGAGATGGGGTCTCACTCTGTTGCCCAGGCTGGTCTCAAACTCCTGGGCTCAAGCAATCCTCCTGCCTCAGCCTCCCAAAGCGCTGGGATTACAGGCATAAGCCACTGCACCTGGCCTCAGCCCTGAGTTTCCAAGAATAAAAAGGGCCAATCAGAATCAAGGTCCCGGATCTGACCCATGGGGAAGTTTGCCTGGGCGGAACCTGGACAATGAAGCACTGTAAGCCCAGCTCTGAGCCGGCGGCTGAGTCGGGACTGACTCAGACAGAGCAGCCTCCTGCTCCTGACTCATGGGGCCTGAGTTGCCTGGGTCTATCCCATTTCCTGGCCCCGCAGCATCCTGGTGGGGTTGTAAAGGCTGGCCAGGCCAGTGGTGCCAGATGTCCTTCCATAGCCGCCCCACCTGCCCCCCACCAACAGACTGCACCCCAACATGATCGCCCCGTGACACAAGAGGTTCACTGGCTTTGCAGTCAGGAGAGCCGGGCTCAAAGCCTACCTCTGAGCTGCCTGGAGCAGATCATTTCTCCTTCCAAGTTCTCAAGCATGACGCAGGCTTGGCATGAGAGCTTCCAGCATGCCTGTGCCTCTAATGCATCTGGTCACTCAGCAAACACTTATGGTGCGCCTACTGTGTGCCAGGCACGGTTCCAGGCTCTAGGGACACACAGTGAAGAGAACAGAACGAGTCCCTCACTCCCTGGAGCTTGCTTTATAACACTGTGTGTGTGGAATTGTAACACTGCCCTAGAACCTGCCGGAACTGTTTGTTTTGGCCTCCTTCACAATTAAGATGTGCTGTAAATAGCTCGATTGACTTGCGGGGGACACTCGAGGTTTGCAGACAGGATCGTTGAATACTTGAGCTGGAAAGAATCTTAGAAACCAGCAGGCCCCTCCTTTCCCCACCCACCCTTGACAGATGGGGAACTTAAGAAAGCCTGGAGAGGGGGTGGAGATGGCATGCCCAACTTCACAGAACGAGGCGGGACACAGCTAGTCGGCATCGGGCCCACTGGCGCCGGTCGTGTGGCCAGGGAAGCCGGAGCTGGTATCTCAGAATCTGGCACAGCTCAGAATCTGGCCCATTTACCACCTGGCCAAACAGACAGCATCCTGCTGTTGTACAAGGGTTGCATGAGGCACGTCAGTTCCAGGGGAAGGCCCAGGGCTGCTGGGGGACAGCTTTGCTCCCTGAGGACTAGGCAGACCGGCAGCAGGAGCAGAACAAAGAACAGGATGGTTCTGACTGCAAATGGTGTTCCTATGTTTGGAGGTGGCTCAGGTGGGCCCCACCCCCAGCCACATGCTTGTTTCAAAGACCAAACCTCAACGCCAATTAATTTTGAAATATCAGGAAACGTTTTATGACATCAAGCCCGATTTCTCTACCTTGCGATGTCCAGCTCCTTGGGGGCCTTTTAGGGGGCAGAGAGCATTCTTTCTCATCTTTTGCCCACAGTGGCTCAGCTGGGTGCTGTCCTCCCTGGCCCCGTGTGGCATCTTGGGCTCCTGCAGCTCAGAGGTCCCAGGGGCCCTGCAGGCGGCATTCTCCCCAGATAGGAGAGGAGGCCTAGGTCCCCCAAAGGGATAGTGACTTAACCACAGTCAGACACACAGCACATCCAAGGCAGGCTAAGGCCAGAATGCAGGTCTCCTGGCACCTTCTCTCCTTCTAAAAGTTTCTATTATGTCCTATTTGACGCCTGTAAAACGGTGTTACATTATGAAACATAATAATAAAACCAGCACCCTGTGAACCCACTGAAAAGCCCAGAATGTCAACCTTACATGTCTTTCCTCCCCCACCCGCTTCCCACCCCCAGGAGTAACCCTGTCTTGAATTCTGACATGAACCATTCTTTTTTTTTTTTTTTTTCTTAAGAGACATGGCCTTGCTCTGTCGCCCAGGCTGGAGTGCAGTGACATGATCACAGCTCACTGCAGCTTCAAACTGCTGGGCTCAAGCAATTCTCCCACCTCAGCCTCCCGAGTAGCTGGGACTACGGGTGCACACCTCCACACCTGGCTAATTTTTGTATTTTTTATAGAGATGCGGTCTCAGTATGTTGCCAAGGCTATTCTCCAACTCCTGGGTTCAAGCGATCCTCCCACCTTGGCCTCCCAAAGCGTTGGGATTACAGGCAGAAGCCACACCACCTGGCTCATTTCGTTACCTTTCAAAAATAGCTTGAGCACATATGCCTGTAGGTCGTGCTTGGTTTTGAGCTTCATGGAAGCATCATACTTGACACACCCTCTGTGACATTCCTCCATGACGTGCTTTTATCGCTTCGCCATGTTTCTAAGCTTCATCCTCACTGGTAGGTGACATTGTCACTGCCACACGGTACTGCAGTGCTGCTGTGAACATCCTTGCTCATGGTCCTGTGCAGGAGTTTCTCTAGAACAAAGTTCTCAACCTTGGCTATACATTAGACTCATCTGGGGAGTTTTGTTTGTTTGTTTGTTTGTTTGTTTTTTTGAGACGGAATCTCACTCTGTTTCCCAGGCTAGAGTGCAGTGGCACTGTCTTGGCTCACTGCAACCTCTGCCTCCCGGGTTCAAGTGATTCTCCTGCCTCAGCCTCCCAAGTAGCTGGGATTACAGGCACCTGCCAGCACGCCTGGCTAATTTTTTGTATTTTTAATAGAGATGGGGTTTCACCATGTTGGCCAGGCTGGTCTTGAACTCCTGATCTCATGATCTGCCCTCCTTGGCCTCCCAAGGCACTGGGATTACAGGTGTGAGTCATCGTGTCTGGCCTGGGGGGATTTTTAAAACATCAATAGG